CTCGAGTCACATAATCGACATTGGACTAACTCAAAAGGTTGATCAATTGATGGATTTAGTGATCCCTCCGGTTGCAAACCTTGAAGTCGTATTGGGTGAGTATGAGTTCCATGGGATATGCTCCAACTACCCTACAACTCATGGATTTTATAATACCTTAGAAGACAATTCATTTGAATGTGCCTTTTAAGATTGTGAGTTTGGATCATCACTTATTGGCATGGTGGGCGATCCTAAAGTGATTGATGTTATAGTGATGGATGTAGAACAAGGCAACACTTTGGTTCTTCAGCAAACACAACAAATGCCCAAAGCCCCATTAGAATGAAATTGGCTGGAGACAAAAATATTTCGTATGTGGAGAACAATGTGAGAAGAGACTTATACTGCCTTTATGAATAACAAGAGTTCTGGGGATTTAGGAGTCGTCCATTCAATAGTGGGTTATAGTGGTAAAAGGACATAGTAAGAGAAATAAAAAACTGGTGATCGGTGTGCACCACAGTTGCCAAAAAAGTTCCCTAAAGACCAAGTGAATTAAACTTGAAGATGAGTTTTCTTTGAGGAAGGGAGATAATGCAGCTGTCATTCGAGGAGCACAAGCTGTCAATCCTATGCCTGATCTTGCTGATTCCATTTGCATATTGAAAATCCTTCAATTATCTACGAAGATTATGTTTAGATTTTTTCCATAACTTTTACTTTTTTCATTATTAAATCTTGTTCTAAACTATAGTCATACGAATATTTCATGGAATAATTAAGGTTTTGGTATTTATTAAATGAATTGGATTCTTTAGTAATTTGTACTAGAAACTAAGGAGTAAAGTGGTTAATTGATAAATGAGGGTGACTTAGAAAATTGGGTGTTAGTGATTTGGGTAGGATTTACACTCTGTTTAGTTCCAATATATATTTGATTACTCATAACAAGTATTGGTGTTGTTGCTTTTATCCTCATCCACCTAACCAGCAACAAGGGGTTTATGCTCCTTAGTAATTCAATGTCAGGTAGCCGTAGTATGATTGCAATCCGGTGACTGATTTGACTATGTACTGATCACTGTTTAGAACCTTGTCTATCTCGCCATGATGAATCCTTATATTGATCATGCAAAGAGCATTATCAAGCAGTTTGTTTAAGATCATCATTACCTTCATGTGTTTGCACTTAATGTATTATCTGTTAGATCGGGCACTTCAAATCAACTTCTCTTTTCTCTCATCATTTTTATCTGCCCTTATTCTCATATGTTAAGGCTGAATGGGCTGAATGTCTGAATACTAGATATTGCAGTGCATGTTATTGTATTTCCTTGGACCAGTCTGCCATCTTCCCGAAGTGCAAGAAACAAAGAACATTATTAAAATCCAACATAGAATGGATATCGTGCCATGTCCTATGTCGAAAATGAGATTGGTTGCTAAAACTCGTATGTGTCGCAATTGTTCTGTATTAACCTGTTCACATGCTGATAACATCGATGTTATCAAGAGCATGTAATGCGATGTTCTCTAGCCACAGTAAACACAATGAGTTTGATTGCCCTTTCATGGGGGAGGTATTTACTTTAGGATTACTCTTGGGTTGCATCTTTACAAAGGCTGTAACTAGGTCTGCACGGTAAAGTTATGACTAGGTCAGTCAATGATGAGGAAAAGTTGTTAAAAGCATTATAAAAAGAGAGAGTTATGACTAGGTCTCTGTTTGGTCAACAAACTGGTGCTTTTGGATTTCACTGTTCGATTCATAGGGACCATTATCAAGGTATATCTGTGCCATGCACACTAAGCTATCTTGTTCCTATTATGTACATGTACATAAGTCATTATGTAATTGCCCAAGGTCATTTGTGTCACAACAAATGTACATGCAAACAAAAGGGTTACTAATTCATATTTGGAATGGTAGTATTCCCTCAAAATATGGAAGTTTCTTGCATCATCTCCTCCATTTTGTCTACTGGATTTGGACCATATTAATATACATAAGTTGTGGAAGTCCTAGTTCATTAGTGTGAATCAGTATCTCTTAGATTAATGCTACAAAAATATAATACCTTGAAATTTATCTTTTGCCATTAAGGTCTACACCGGTCTGCATGGACATATGCAAGAAGAGAAGGTTTCTCCTGCTTAAATGAAATCATGAGTGACAAGTCATCTGGTACATCTGCAGTTGCATTTGATTGTGGTCTTAGGAGAGTACATGTATTGAAAAACATGTAAGAAGAGAAGGTTTCTCCTGCTTAAATGAAATCATGAGTGACAAGTCATCTGGTACATACGCAGTTGCATTTGATTGTGGTCTTAGGAGAGTACATGTATTGAAAAACATGTAAGAAGAGAAGGTTTCTCCTGCTTAAATGAAATCATGAGTGACAAGTGATCTGGTACATCCGCAGTTGCATTTGATTGTGGTCTTAGGAGAGTACATGTATTGAAAAACTTAATTCTCCACACAGGAGGTATTTCATTGTGTGAAAATAAAGTGTTGAAGGGCGAATATGGAGCTCCTACATTTGGTAGCACCTTTTACAAATTTTTGTTAAATCGATTTTCAGTTTCTGTGTTCGGGAAAATATCTACTGAAATTTTTACATCACATAAATCCCCTCAAATATTATCATGGGAGGGTGGACCGTACATTGTCAGGTCAACCTCCTAATATAGGCCTTATTTGGCTTATTTAAGCCAGATGACCATAGGTTAATTTGCAACTTGTCATACCACTTCTAGTTGATAATTTTGTATTCGAACAAAGTTAACTCCATTAAATCTGTCAAATTCTAGTCCATAAAATATTTAGTGCTCATTGATATTTCATTCAAGTGTCCCTTTTACTGTGGCCTTAATCTAGTGTACATTGAGGTCAGCTGCATAAAAAGAAGAGAATAAGAATATTAGATGATGTTCTTCTCTTGAAGAGAAAATATTCAGAAATTCGAGAACATACCCATGGCATGTGAGTGATTGAAGATTTCAAACCTCTCCTCAAGAGCTCGTTTTGGACCATCGATGATGTTAACATGTGCCCCCACAAATCGTAACTGATCATTTTATTTATACAAAATAGGTACCATAAAAAGTTCTTACAGCATAGAGAAAGCATTCCTGGAGTTCATTTAGATAGATTTCCATCTCAAGAAGATCACAACCATGTATTCCCTCCCTGTTTTCACTATTAGGTTTTTGTTATTTGGTCTTCAAACAAGTTTTCAAGTTCTATTTTGATTGATGGTTCAATTTACTTAGAACATTGGTGTGATCTACTTGTTATGAGCCTTGAATTCATTATACTTTGGAACTTAGCTGATTTTTGAGGTCTATGCTTGACAAGATATAACAAAATGAAAATTACTTATGAATGGGGTAGTATCAGAATCCAGATTTTTGTAACAAGTTTGTTAGGTGGATAACTTTCAAAGTTCTAATCCAAGGTGATTCATGTGCACTCACCTGGCTATAGTCAGTTACCAAGTAGAAATGTGGAGTTCGTATTCTTTTTAGGAAATCAAACAACTTTAGGGACCTACTTATATATATGTCTTTGACTAGTATCCTTGTCATTCCATGCATCATATGGAAAGAGAGGTACCATGAGGAAAGTATATGGAGACTACGTGCTCTGTCCTCTTATGGAACTCCCTAGTGAACACATGGTCCATCTAAAACCTTGTTCTACAATAGGTTGGGACACATGGGCTTAATTTATTGAAAGATCATAAAAGCAGAAGAACCTTTGGAGTTTATTACTTTAGCCATGAGATACCCACATTGCTTCTCTGGAAGGAGCTTAAGATGTTGTATTTGATGAATATGCACAAAACAAACACATCCAAACATGCTAACTTTAGATTGTCTAGATAACCATTGGAAGCTTCTTAATAGGGCTCAAGAAGATGGGCAGAATCATACAACTATTTGAATGTTTTGGACCGTAAGCATGTAGGGATTCCATTGGGAAACATCAAGAAGATGGACAGAATCATACAAACTATTTGAATGTTTGGATCTTTGCATTTGAACTCACTGTTTCGGGGGTGGAGAATATGAGTGTCCAAGTTGCTGAAGGGAGCCAATGGGGCTGAGATATTCCTCTGTCCTTGAAAAAATGAAAATCTAGGCACATCTTATCTAAACTATGACATGATTATGGGTACACGATGCAGATGAGGACCCCTCAAATCAGAATGTATGAGCTTTTGATGTTCATTGGCTACTGTATTAAACAGTGAAAATGGGAACACATGCTTCAAGAAATCATAGAAGACAACAATTTAAAATTAAGGATGTCTTGCAAGTCTTGACCTCTTTGGTTTCAAAATTCGAAGGCTTATGGATTGTGTTAGTTACTAGATACTTGTTAAGTGGTTCTATTGAGCTTTTGTTATCTCTGTTTGAAAAAGATTCATGGTCAGTTTACTGTACTAATTTTTGTTTGTATGCCAAACACGTAATTCATTAATAACTCTATACATCTAGCGATAGATTTTAAGTTGTGTATGTATGTACTCTTAGCAGACGAAGATTAACTTCCTTCTTTAAACATCCATAGTTTGAAAGACATCGTCCTTCTTTAGTTTTCAAGGGTTATTAAAAAAAATCAGAAAAGGGGAAAATTCATGGTCCAATGCAAGAGAGCCTCTTCTCAATTCGTAGTAAAACACTAGTTATGGACTAGATGCCTTTTCCTTCCCGCTAGTGGGTTAGATGCAATATAGCAGAGAAGATTACAACCCTATCATTCAACTATTGTACATTATACTTGAAAACTTTTCATATTTATTGTGCAATGCAAAAAAAAAAAAATTATATAAAACTAGCCAACATCATCTTGCTTCTGTGCTGACGAACGGCCACCATTTATCTTGCTTCTTTGCTGACAAACGAAGCAAAATCACTATATATATATATATATATATATATATATATATAGAAATTGTTAATTTTCTTTGTAATAGTAGTGTGTGATGGTTTTTTTTTTCTTTGCGAGTTAGAATCACCTGTGATCAAGATGAGGAACGAGGAAGCCGCAAAGTTTACCGGGGGTGCTCGCGTTCCCCAACCTGTCGTGGGTGTACCTCGTGTGTATGCTTCGGTTGCCAGCTCTGCCGTTTCTCTGGATGCAGCTGCCAAACATGCATGGATTTCATGCAAAATGTGAAAGCCTGAGAGTGAGGCTTCTCGGCAGTCCTGCTAAAAACAATTACAGCAATTTTTGCCTCACTGGCTCCTCATAAATTGGCTTCTCTACACAAACTCCCTCATAAATTGATATTTATACAAACTCAGGCGCTTAGACTTACCCAATTGCGCAAATATTTGGATATTACTCTCGATCTCTTGAATATTTTTATTTTAATCTCTCTCTCTTTTGTCTATTTTTTTGACCTGAATCATAGTTAGCAGGTCCTTCATTAAAACACAGAACTCTTGAGTTTTCAAATTTTGGACCATGAATTTTAAAGATTTTTCTAGTTTTCATAGATCTGCTCAAACCTGTAAATTTTATAATTAGATATGAGAATACATTTTAACGCTATCACAAAGATTTCCAATATTGAAACCATATTTCTCGATATTATTTGTTTAGAGCCTTGGTTTTATACAAATTGCATGTTTTATTGTGTTATCTTTATATATCCAAGAGAAAAATTATTGTAAATTTTTTAGAGAGAGAGACTATCTCAAATTTTAAATTTTAAAGAGAAAAGTATCTTCAAATTTTAGAGAGGAACTATATCAAATTTTAGAGAGAGAAAGTACTTGAAATTTTTAAAGAGATACTGTATCACATTTTAGAGAAATTATTTAGAGATAGAAACTCTCAGTTTTTAGAGAGAAACTATTTCAAATATTAAGTTTTAGAGAGAGTATTCTTAAAATTTAAAGAGATAAATTATATTAAATAAAATAGTTAGAAAATTATTAGAGAGAAATATCTCGAATCTATTTCAAAATTTAAGGTTTATAGAGGGAGTATATTAGAATTTTAGAGAGACTATCAAATTCTAAGTTGAAACAATATTGAAATTTTAGGGAGAGAAATTATATCATATTTTAAAAAGAAAAACTATCTCATTTTAGAGAGAAATAATTTCAAATTTTAAGTTTTAGAGAGAAAGCATCTTAAAATTAGAGAGTAACTCTATCATATTTTAGAGAGAGAAAGTACCTAAAACGTTTTAAAAAAATTATCTCAAATGTTAAGTTTTAAAGAGTAACTAATCGCATTTTAGAGATGGAAATTACTTAAAATTTTTGGAGAGTAATTATCTCAAAATCATTGGAGAAACTATCGCAAAGTTTAAGTTTTAGATAGAGACATTATCTTAAAATTTTAGAGAGAGAAATTATATTAAATTTTAGAGAGAGAGCTCTTGAAATTTTTAGAGAGAAACTATCTCAATTTTTTAGGAAGAGAAACATGTTCAAATATTAAGTTTTTGAGATAGGATATTGAAATTTTAAAGAGAAATTATATTAAAATTTTGAGAGAGAGAGACTCCCAAATTTTGAGTTTTAGAGAAGGAATGGTATATTATTTTTTTTTAAAAAAAACTGTATCAAATTTTGTTACCAAACATTGAACATGAAAATGACAGTAAGTAATCAATGAATTTTATATTGGGATTTTCTACAAAGAGGCTATTTATTTTTGTATTATATATTCAAACAAGAGATTTGAAGAATCCATGACAAAAATCCTTGATATTGCAAATCTTTAGGTTTTTTTGGATTTCTAATCTCTAAAATTTATAATTTCCTCCAATCCAAATAAGCCCTAGAAAAATTTCTTGCAACTATAAAGGATTTCAGCTTACCGGATCACCCAGAAATATATGAAATAAGAAAAAATAAAATTGGTTTATGATAGATAAATGAACCTGTTTTTTTTTTTGACTTATTCCAAAGCTACCGGTTAAAGATTGGATGCTCAAATCTGATTCAAAGAAGTTGGCTCTTCCTATTTAGAGAGAGAGAGGAGGGGAACTTTGGTTGTTTGATCAATATGGACGACTGGGATATGTCCAGTGGTTTGTAACAAAAATTAAAGGGCCCACCGACTGAAAAAAAAAGAAAAAAAAAGAAAAGAGAAAATTACAAAAACCCTATTGACTTTAACTTTTTTTGTATCCTCCCACAATCGGTTTTTTTTACGATCAGTTTTTTTGTCGCAACTTTTATCTTAAAATTAATTTTTATCGCAAAGTTTTCGAGTCAAAAAGTCATTTTGGAGGATGAAAATACCCTTGCCTATACATGAAGGTGCCACCTTTCAGTAAGCAATCACCAAAGACTGTCCGACACCTGTTGGACCAAAAACCATACCACATTAACTGGCAGACCACAACAACAATTTTGCGGCCGCGTGCAACTTATGCCGGACCGACAAATGGCTAGGCCACAACAACAATTTGGCATTTACAAGTGCCGGACCGCAGCAATAATATGCCGAAACACATTTACAATTGCCGGACGGAGGACATTCAACGACCAAGGGGTGGGCATTTTGGTCTTAAGTTATGATTCACAAAGTTTAAGAACATTTCTATTTTACTTGGGAGTTTCGCAATTTTTTTTTATAAATTTCTCAGTGTGATGTTTTTTTAGATGATATGTGATTCACCTTTGGAAAGTTCAAAAGGAAAAGCTTTTGACGTTTTAAAGCCCTATATCTACTATCCCTCAAATGGATGGTTCAAAGTCAGTCAAATTAGAACAAGGTAAAAACATATTACCAATCCCCAAAATAGTGAAGGTTGTTTCACTGATTGAAAATTCTCCACATTTGGGGAATTTTTAAGATAGAGATTTCAAAAAAGAATTTTTTTTAATGAAAAGTATATCTACATGTAGACCTTCCCTAAGAAATTTTGGCCTAAGTAGATTAAACAGCAAGCTATTTGGTCATACATTGGAATAATTTGGATAAAATTTAAATTCAAATCACCCAATGTAGGCTCATGAGTTTAATACTGAAAGACAACATTACATTAATGAGCTGACCATTTTATTGGAGAAACTCTCATTTTTTATATTCTTCTCCTCTACCTGGAATTTATTATTCTTAAATATCTAGATAGGAACCTAATATGCCCATGAATTAGCTTTCTTCCTCAGTTTGCTATGTGCCCATTTTGATGTCTCAGGAGGCTGACCAATAACTTAGTTTGTGATATGAATTTTTTAGCTAAACATGACAACTTGATAAAAATTAGTTTTATTATAAATATATTGAACACTAAGAATGATAGAAATATGAATATAAATGAAGAAATAGTTAAGATTGACGGTTAAGTAATACCAAAAAGAGCGCGCTTTCGATATTTTAGATTGATAATCCAAAAAAATAGAGAGATTAGAGATAGGTAGGCGAAGTGGAGATGTACAACTAGAGTTTATGTGCTCGTCGAATACCAATGTTGTTGAAGGGCAAGTTCTATAGGATAATTGTGCGACCAATTTTGCTTTATGGGGCAGAAGACTGGATGATCAAGAAGGAACACAGGATGAATGTCATTGAGATGAATGTGGCATGACAAGAAGAGATAGAATTTGAAATAGATACATTTCGAATAAGCGATAAGATGGGAGAAAGTAGAGTTAGGTAGGCTGGCTAGCCATGGACAATGCAGACCCAATACAATTTCTGTTAGGAGGTGTGAGTTAGTTCAAATGGAAGGCTCAACAAGGGCAAGGCCAAAAAAAATATGGTTGGAAGTAATGAAATAATGTACATGGACTTATGGCCTTACTAAATGTATGACACTTGATAGGGCAGAATGTCAGACTAGAATTTGTGTAGCTGACTCCAAATAATTTGAAAAAAAGCTATGATGACGACAACGATGATATTATAAAAATTCTGAATGACAAAAATAGTTAATGTTTTTATTCTTAATTTGCAATGGTTTCCTTCTTAATTATTGATTTTTGAAATTTTGAGATTAAAAACTATGGACAAGATGACAATGCGTCTCCAAGCTAATCCATGTGTCGCGATAAAACTCCATTGATGCAACCAAGCTGACTCCATCATCTAAGATGTATAGGGATGAGATTGGTGCAAGGATGATTTTGTGGATGTTGGGTTAGGAATGTTTCTCCCATGCGATTTCCATGTTTTGCTCATTAAAGGGCAATTTGGGAATACAAATTATTGAGTTCTTGTAAATAGATAAATACCATGTGAGATAGTCTAGAGATTTTAGTAAACAAAATGATGCAAATAAAAATTGGGTTTTTTTAATTTTTGTTTGTATATATCTAAATTTTAGAAAAGATGCTATTTGCGTTTTTAATTTTTTTTAGGGCTATTACTATCTTTGTTTTAGTTGTACAATTTAAGGGATAAAATATGAAGTTTATTTTTTAAAAAGATTTCGATAGGATTAATGATTGGGTTGGTGAGGATATACTTGGTTTTAGCCGGAGGTTGCATGTTTCTCTTGTTCACTTAGATTGTTAGGATATGTTAGACTTTGGAAATGTAATTCATTCCATGATTTGTGTGGTGTGATAGAGAGATAGGTAGGGGAGCCACGTCACTTTTAGATGGTGTTTACGAAATCTAACGGATAATGAATTAAGAGAGATTCATGTGGTTAGAGAGAGATGGGATGGATAGAGCTTAATTTTTTATTTTCATGTTTTTATTATTTATTATTCTTTGTGATTTGTATTTAGAGGAAAGTTGTCTCTTATGTGTAAAGAGAGTGAGTGGAGAATAAAAAAAAAGTTTAATTTTGTGATAAGATCTTGGGGTGGACTCTCTTGCATACCAAAAAAGAGGGTATTATCTCTCAAACTTTTATTCTTATTTTTATGTTTTTAGTTCATTATTTTTCTCCATGCATAAGTTGATATCAGAGCTTTGAGATCCGTGCTGATCATAAACAAGCAAGTTTTACAAACTCAGCGATTCGGATCAAGAATCGTCGATAGAATCCGGATCCTTCAATATATCAAGATCCGGCTATGTCCCCCCTGAATTGGCCGTCTCACTAATAGAACCGGTCGGTTCAGTTAGAATTGAACCGGCTAGAAATGACTGCTCTATATTGTTTGCCATTTTTGAATTTTTTTTTGAAAGTGGGCAATGGCCAACACATGCTTAAGCATAGGTTAGCATGAGCCATTTCCCACATTTGCATAAGCATATGTCCATATGAGGGCTGCGGATGTAAAATTAGTTAATGTGGAATTTGTTTCTCTACCGCATGAAGTATAGTGAGCTGTATTAAATATTTGGCTTTGGAGTAACTCTCTCTCTCTCCAACCTTGGCGTATCTCTCTCTACTAACAATCTCTCTACAAAGTTTGTTCCATTAATAACTCTGCTAAAATTAATTGCACTAAAACTATCTCTCTATCTCTTTTCTAAGTAGTACAAAGATGCAATTCCACAAAAATTCTCTCTATTTCTCTCTACTAATAACCTCTTCCATTAAATTTGTTGCACATAACTTCTTTCAAAATCA